TATATATATATATATATATATATATATATATATATATATATATATATATATATATATATAACAAATCAATCAACCTTTATTTTATTTATACAGGTAAATCCCATTGAGCCTCGAGGACTCATTTACAAGAGAGACCTGATTTCAACAAAGAAAGATGACAACAATGGACAACAGCAGCAACAACAATAAACAGTTATAAAAAAAAAGCATACCAGTTTTTTATTTTTTTTAACAAATAGGATGGCTAAAAGGAAAAGGTAAAACAAAAAACAGCTGGATTCCAAGACAAATGTAGAAAACTAAAAACAGATATTGAACAAATATTGAACTTGTGTGCAAATTTCTTCAATTGGTCATTTTCCTTTTCCCACATCATTAAATTTGCCCCATTCTTCAGGCTGTGATCACATACATGCCAGCAAAATGGTGCTCCCATCTTTCAGTTTTTGTGTTAAGCTCGACTCATAATTGAAGGAGATGCTCGTTTGGTTCGAGTCAGCAGAGAAAAGCAATACAGTGGGAAAATGTTTGCACGGGAGCAATTATAAATTAATTTTTTATTCATGCTGCAATGTCATCAATTACACAAGTCCTATAAATAATGTGAAGGTTTGGCAGTTGTTGAAATTTTTTTATTCGTAAGAGCTTAAAAGAAGGCAATGATCTAGATGATTTTTTTTTTTAATAAGATCGCTTTTATTTACAAAATAATTAAAAAAAAAACATCTAAGTCCACTCATGGCAAGATGCAGGCGTTGATTGTCAAAGGTCACAGAGGTCTTCACTGTCATCCAACGAGGAGATTTAATCTTTTAAAGAAGAAAGTAGACACCTGGACCAGTGTAAAAATAACTTGAGGCAGAGGGAAACATCATTAGTGCAAATATCAATATGTGATAAATGCAAATGATGTTAAAACTTACATGTAGAGGACATGAGCCGAGAAGAAATCTGCATTAGCCTCTACAAAAATTAAGGAAATCATGTTCTCCACTGATTTGCTGACAAACTGACTTCAGTCAATCAGTTATAATAGAGGATTTACTTTTAGGCAAATTAATCTAATCAAGAAGGTCAAAATTAAAAATACATTTGATATCAGTGCAAACATTCTGAGCACATAAAATATACAAGATTTAACAAAACAAAAATGAGTAGGTTTTATAAACCAGCCAGTGTTGCAAAGATCTGCTGAACCTCCACCACAGTTCTGATTGCAATTTAAAGGTCACGCTCCTTATTGACACTTTCCTGGAGTGCTGGAATTATTTAAATATACAAAATATGCCTGACATTAAAAAAAATACATATTTTGGCCACATAAAATGCACTTCTATGTAAAATGTATCTTTCTCTGGTAAAACATTTAAATATCAGGATTTCTATTTAGGCTTAATGCCGTTTGGTTCATTAGTGAGCTCTGTGCTGTTTTCCTTCTCGTCCGACGTCAACATGGCCGACTTGGCACACTGTAAAAGTTCTTCAGGTGGCGGGAAAGGAAGAACGACAGGAACAGAGGTGACGGAGCGCTTGTTGAGGAGTACGACGTCTATAGGTCCTCTGATGCTTTTCAAATAGATCTGATACTTTGCCGGGCAGTTAGAGACCTGAGGGGAGACGTCGGGACGCTGGATTAGCTCACGAGGCTCAAAGGCAGCGAGAACAGAAGAAACCAGGAGAATTTCTTGGCGACGCAGGACTTACAGCTTTGGGAATGGGAACATCAAACTGTGTGCCTGGTGGTGCTCGTATCGCCAAAAGAATGTGACCTGAAGGAAAATTAAACTAGTTCAGTTTTTACCACAAAAACTCAAGTATTTGCTTCTAAACTGAAAAAGCAGCTGTGCAGATATTCAGCTAAACATCTTCTGACTCTGAGCCTCTTTTGAATACACTGAAGTTCTTCTAGAACGCCTGTTTGAACACCCAAGTTTACTCTTTACTTTTAAGCTTTTACTTTCTCGTTGTTCGTTCCTTCAACCTTTATTAAGACAGGTTAATCCCAATGAGCCTCGGGGACTCATTTACAAGAGACCTGATTTCTTAACAAACAGCGATGACAACAGTGAATAATGACAACAATAGACAGTCATAAAATAAACATAGGCATACAAATTTAAGTTTCTAATTTTTTTTTTTTTTTTTTTACAAATCAAAACAATCAAAACAAAATAGCAACCCAAAGGGCAATCAGGAGGAATAGTAGCAAAAAACAGCTAGATTATAAAGCGGTGTAGAAAACTAAAAACAGGAACATGTCTGCATTGGTTCTTGCCAGGAACTTAGCAGATGTTTAAAGTCACTTAAGAAAAGTCAAGATCAAGAGCTTCAGATATTTTTGTAAGATATTCCAGGAAACAGGAGCGGAGTAGGAGAAGGCCCTTTTGTCTAGTTCAGTCCTCACTGAGGGAACACTGCAGGTAATAATGTCCTGAGAGCGCACGCTGTAGCTGCACTCACGCCGCAGAGACATGTAGGAGGAGATGTATGAAGGCAGCAGACCAAGAAGTGATTTAAAGATGAAAATGTACCAGTGAGAGAGTCTGTGTGAAGTTAATGATGACCAGTTAACCAGTGAATACTGGGTGCAATGATGGTACAGTAGTTGCAGCCATTTATGTATCTAAGTGCACCGTGATAGACGGCATCCAGCATCTACAGGGTGCTTGTAGGAGCGTTCATATAGATAACGTCACCATAGTCAATGGAGGGAAGGAAAGTCACAGATACAAAGCGTTTCCTAGCATTCAGGGTTAGACAGGATTTGTTTCTGAAAAAGAAACCCAGTTTAACTTTCAGTTTCCACATGGAGCTTAAAAGAGATGCGAGTCGACCGAGATACCCAAATATTTATAGGAATCGACAAACTCAATAGGGACACCATTTAAGGATAAAATCAGAGGAAGAACGGATGGGACCGACTTCCTGTTTGAAAAAAAGCATCCCTTTGGTTTTATCGGCATTTAGGGCAAGTTTGAGGCGGAACAAATCAGACTGGATGATATCAAAGGCGTATTGAAAAAGCTGGAGAGCCTTATCAACTGTTTTAGCTCGACAGTAAACAACTGTGTCATTAGCATAGAAATGTATGGATGCATCAGGGATGATCTGACCTATGTTACCTATGTAGATTGTAAAGAGGGTGGGTCCTAAGACTGAGCCTTGTGGTACACCATTACGGACTGTTAAAAATCTTTAATATAGCAACAGTGGGGAGATGACAGAATGAAGAATGAACAGATTTTTTGTATTTATAAAAAATGGGACATGCTGATTCAGACTGATTCGTAGCGATGATATCCCGAGCAGACTGCACCAAGTTTGGCTCTCGCCTGAATGTTCAACCAGATCACATCTAACATAAAGAGTAAATGTGCATCTGGATCTCGCCTTCCGTTATCAGCTACGTGCAGAATCGGCTTCAGCTGCCCACTAAACAACTGCTTCCTGCACAGAAAGTGATTCATAAACCGACTGCATTTCATAAAAATGAGCTCGCACCCTTTCCGCCACTCTTTCAGTTCTTCTCGGTACATGTCTCCTCTTAGCGTTGTTGCAGCAGAACTTGCAGTGAACTTCAGAAACAACACCAGCTCAATGATCTGCTCCCCGTCCTGTGCCATCCCTAACAAGTGAGAGAAGGTGCCAGCTCCTCCCAGGGTATCAGATGCCTGTTGAAGAGGATGTGCTTCAAAGCTGCTAAAATCAGCTACTGCAGGATGGAGAGCTCTGCCTTCTCCCACAGAACCAGTCAGATGAGCTCAGGCAAAAGCAGCAAACAGACTAGATTATAAATGTTTTTAATGGGGCTCAGAAGCCTTTGCACAACTACAGGTATATTTTTTAACCACCCTGCTGCCTTGTGACTCCTCAGTTTATGCTTCTGCAACATCTGGACAAGCAATCTGCTGTTTTATCTTTGCTCCCATCATGGAGGGTGTCAAGATGCCTCACAGGCAAACCTGTCGTAAAAAAAAAACTTAAAAAAAAAAAGCAAATCAACAAAGTGATGATACATTACCATTGAAGCAATTGCAGACATCTTCATCTGTCACATAGGTCAGAGTTAATAAGAGTTAAGAAATAAGACGCTAACAAAGAGCTCATCATTAAACACAAATAATATTTGTGCCACCTTATCAATATTAGTCTGTTCAAATCTGCTCATCTTCAGTTAAAACAAAATTATTTAGCAGCAGTATATACATTTTTTGTTTTCCAACAGCAGTAGATAGAGTAAAATAACAAATTTTGTACACTTATTGGTTTAAACGTAGTTAAAAAGGATATTTTTTGCAGTTTTCTCTCATGCTCCTGATGCTCTCTTCAACCAAATATTTCTGTTGGTCCAACAAAATCTCTTTACGATCCAAGTCCTCCAGCTCAGACTTTAAGGCTGATTCACGTGCATTTTCTTCTTTACCTCTTGCAAATAAAGAAACACGTAAAACTTTGTAAAACATACACTGTGTTGTTTTGCTTTGAGCTTGTGAATGCGCACAAAACGAGTTAAAAACTTACTTCCACTTTATATAGTTCTTGGATATTTTGACAATAAGACCGATACCCTCCAGCACATTTATGATGTCGTAGATTCTTCTTTTGTGCTCAAAAGCCAGAGTCTTGACAGCCTGAAGTGACACCCCAACAACAACAACAAAAACTTTTATCATCTGCAATAAGAACTTTTACCTCTACTCCAGAGATTTTTGTGTTTTGTTAATACGACTACAATACATGGATTGGGCGCCTTAGCAAGCCGGCAGTGATTCAAAGCTATCTTTTTCAGACGGCTTACAAAAAATAAAAAATATCTCAACAACAAAAGAATATGGTTAAAACCACTAAAAGGTAAATAAAGCTTAATTAACATGATCGACCCAAGCACAATTTGATTCATTTAAAAAATAATGTTAAATTGAAGTTTGTTATTTTAACATTACAAGCTTCAGAAAGATTTAATATGTAAAATGTCCCTTTTGTATAGTTTGTGTATTTGTAGAATTGCACAAACTGTTTAGTCAAACAGAGGCTTGTAAATAAATTATACTCAAGTATGATCATGATAGCTGGACACCAGTGACTCCTGCTACCCAAAAAGGAAGAAGCAGTTAAAGATAATGGATGGGTGATCATGTTATAAATAAAACTTAAGATATGACTTTCAGTAAATAGTTATAAAACCCAAGTCCGTGTGTTTAAATGTAGTTCACATACACATCTGAGATCCAGCTCTCCGTTTTCTACTTCCTGTAGCAACCGGATAAACTTCCGAGTGAGCACGCAGAGGCTCCTTGAATTTCTCAGTGTTTTGGGGTTTGGAACCAGCTCGGTTGTCTCTCTATCTGGACTGAGTGTGCCATCTTCAGGATCCATGTTGCTGCACGGGAGGAAACAAACGATAAAACATGTGAACTTCCTCGGATTAAATAAAGAGTTCTGTACACGGCGGAAAAGTTGCCTTCAAAATAAAATCCTGTTACAATTTCCTGTACTTGTCGTTTACTTAAAAAGCTATGGGTTTTGCTAATGAGTGTGATAAATGGCGTGTAAATGATCTTATTTTAAAATAAAACACACAAATGTAAGAATACTTCAATTATACGCTAAATACTAGAACCAATACGGTTTATTGTGAAAGGCTTACGCCGGAAGTGCTATGTTTTCAGTCTTTTTTTTAAATCACCAATGTATGAGTAGTTTTAATTCACGTTTTTATTTAAAATACTATACGCACTTAAATATAGTCCCATCTATAACCGTATCAAGTGTGAAAACTGAACACGGAGTGTTTTACTTTTTGCCTGTTGGGAGAAAAAGTGGCTAATGCATGTAGCTAACATTAGCATTCTTAGCATTCGCTAACTTAAACTTAGATAAAACGCTGTCGAGCTTCAGAGGGACGTATTTTGCATCGTTTCCGATATAAAGTCGATTTAAGTAACTACTTACTGTAACAGTGCGACTCCTGCAAACCTTAGCTGTTTTGGCACCTCCTTTTCCGGTAGAACAACTCTGCCTTCACAATAAAAGCTCCGAAAGTCTAAAAGTAAAAGTGTCGTCGCTGAAGTAATTTGTAAAGTAAATACTCGTTTGTAGCATTTTAAAGTAATTTATATATTGCTTCTCTGGATATGGGCACTAGTGACACCCCGTGATCCAAAATGGAAGAAGCGGGTAAAAGATAATGGATGGATGGATGTTGTGCTCTGATCCTGTTCTAGAAACAAAAAGCTTTTTGACGCTTTCAGATTCGCCAGAGCAGTGGTCCCTGTAGGGTTTTATTATTTAATACTATTTTGGAATGTTTTACTTAGTATATTAATTATTTTTGTATGTTTTATTGCATGCTGCTAAGGTTAAGCGGGGGAGGGGATGCTCAAAATGTCGGAGTACATAGTTTTTAAAAATGTATTTCTACTTCCGTGTAGAGGCAGACGGGGGGGTCACGTGACTCGGAGCTGCGGCGGCAGTCATATGATGTTTGCTGCAGTTTGAGGACGGTGCAGGAAGTTGTAGCAGACACGTTTGCTGAGTTTTATTTGGGGTTAGTGGAGTGGGGGTTTGAGTCATGTTCGCCCGAGGGTTCCTGCTGGTTCTGCTGGGAGGTCTTCAGCTCGGCGCGCGCGCTCAGTACTCACCTGATGAGGTCACTCAGCTGCCCGGCATGAAGTTCAAGCCCAACTACAGTCAGTGGTCCGGGTACCTGGACGCAGGACCGGGGAAGCGTCTTCATTACTGGTAACAAACTGAAACCGGTACTTTTTCTGTGCTTTCTGTTAATTTTTATTTTTTAAGTTTTATGTAAATTACAACTGTGCGCGCTTTGATGTGAAGGTTTTTCTATGTGTTCTGGCAGTTCTGACCTCTGTTCACCTGCGTCAACACACCTGGTTTTAATAAACAGGTGACAACGGGCTCACGTCCTTTGGATCAGGTGTGTTGGAGCAGAAACCAGACGTGGATTAGAAACTATGCCAGTTTTAGGTGACTCAAAGTTTCGGAATAATCTAAATTAAAGCCCCTGTTTTGCACCAACATGTCATGGGAACATTCTTCACTGAGCGCGACTCTAAACACAAACTTCTCAACAGATATTAAAATATGTTGTAGGTTTTGGACAGACGAGGCTAAAAACGCAATCATGACCATCGGATGCTACTCTCCCCACTTTGTTGTGGTTTTTAACCTGCTGTAAAACTTAGCAAAGACATAAACGGTGCTGGTTTTTGTACCAGATTTACAAAATTATATCAAAGTATTAGAATTTAAACACGCGTAGAATAATGAAATCTGTTTTTACTCAATTTTACATCATGTATTTTGACTTTTAAATGTCTTCCTGCATTTGTCAGGGGGTGCTGCAGCACCCTCAGCACCCCTACCTCCCACAATCTTGCACACTAAAGTAGAAGCAAGGGTCAAAGGTCCTAGGAGAGTTCAGTGAGCTCAGAGGCTCTTGGAGTCAAGCTATTGAATATTTGTGTGTTTGCAGCGCATCGTGCACATAAAGACCAGCGTTATTTGTCCTGTTAAGAAACGCTGATTAAAAAGAGCCGCGGGTCACAGGAAGTCGTAATTTGTGCTTACACCGTGATGATTACTCCGACGATCTCCTGCAGGTTTGTGACCTCTCAGGGGGACCCGACCAAAGACCCCGTGGTGCTCTGGTTGAACGGGGGTCCCGGCTGCAGCTCTTTGGACGGGTTCTTGTCAGAAAATGGACCGTTTCATGTGAGCATTCTTACCTGAAAATAAACACCCGTTTAAAATAAAGCCTTATAACGCTGACTTTTTTTTTTTTTTTTCAGGTGGATAACGATGGGGCCACTCTGTATGAGAATCCACTGAGCTGGAATAAAATTGCCAACATGTTGTACCTGGAGTCTCCTGCAGGAGTGGGTTACTCCTACTCCGATGACCAGGAGTATAAAACCGATGATGATAAGGTAACAAATGAGCTTGTAATGAATCGGAGAGGTCGAACGACTAGAAACCACAACGCCTGTTTCAGGTGGCTGACGATAACTACAGAGCCCTCCAGAGTTTCTTCGTGAAGTTCCCAAACTTCACGGAGAACGAGTTCTTCATTTTTGGGGAAAGCTACGGAGGATTTTACGCGCCGATGCTGAGCCTGCGCGTGGCCACCGGACAGGCTGAGATCAACTTCAAGGTGACGTTTGTTGCCGAGTGTCCTGTTGTTGTTCTTGACAGAAACGGGCTTGAGCTTATTTTGGAGCGCTGCTTCTTTTCAGGGCTTTGCAGTGGGAAACGGTCTCAGCAGCTTGGATCTCAACGACCAGTCTCTGATCTACTTCGGTTATTACCACGGCCTCTTTGGAGAGGAGTGAGTTTCACAACCTGTCATTGTTCAAGGCTGCAGCCTGTTTCGCTCACTGTGCACGTTTACTTTGGATATTTAATATAGATTTACTCTTTAACACTTTCACATTGTTAAACACCTTTTGTCCTCCAGTCTGGAAGGTTTTTAGTTTTTTTTTAATGTCTGCTTTTGTTTGAGACGTGCAAGTCAGCCCCAATTTTATCTTTAGATAAGGAGGAGGAGCCACGACTACATGGCAAACTTGTTTTGGCACCATTTGTGTAAGAAAATAATGTTTTTTTGCGAAATACCTCAGTTTTTGCTTCCATTGGTGCCGTGCAGTCGTTCTCCTGTGTTCTCGATCGTCTGCTGCTTTGGTGGCGCCCGACACTGAACTATTCCGCATTTTAATATAATTACTATAAGACCGATCTGAGTTTCCAGCAGGCTGCTTGTTACAAAGTATCTAAAGATTCAGCCTTGACGACAAACAGTGACGTGTTTTACATTTCTCTTTCTGAAGGAGCTGACGGTTAAATCAAAGCTAAAACATCTTTCTTGTTTTTAGTGTAAAGATAATTCTGAAGTCCTTCAGACGTGCATTGTCTTTATTTCCAACAACTCTAACTTAGAACAGTAATAAATATTGTTCAGTCTTATTTGAAGAAACTAAAAAGTAACTTGGGACTTTTCATGTACCGTATTTTCCGCCGTACACGTTGCACCGCCCGATAAGTCGCATCAGTCCAAATATGTCTAATAAAGTAGAAAAATCCATAAATATGTTGCATGTATTCGTCACTGCTGACGACCTGGAAATATGGGCCGGTGTTGTGCCAAAAATGGATTGGCTGCCAAATGGTGGCCGCAGGAGCGTGCATGGGAAGACTTTTAACACAAGTTTAACAAAATTAACACCTAAAATAAATGAATTTGCTTGAAATTATGAAATTATCGTAAAGGTGTGTCTCAGTTTAACTTTTGCTTAATAAATGCACTTTGACGGTCAAATGAGCTGTTTTTCAAAAGCTGATACGCAGAAGTAGGAACTCAGAGAGGGACGAGTCGCTGTGCATTTCTTCCAAATTTAATAAGATAAGCACCTAAAAACAATTATTTGTTTGCTCGACATTATATCAAAAGGTCTCAGTTGAACTTTTATTTAATAAATGCACTTTAAAGGTCAAATCAGTTGCATTTTGCTGGGGCAGCGCAGCAAAATGCTGATTTGACGGTTGCTCAAAGTGAGCAAAATGAAGGTGGCAGGCTATGGCAAGTCGATTGTGTCATTGTCACTTTTACCTATTACATGACACAATGACATGCCATACTACTTGAGTGCCATCTAGCGGCTGAAAATGATAGTGTTCAATGTTTTCAGTCAGAATGAATGAAAATGGGTCATATCTCATTCAAAAATTGGTTTATAAATATGAGAATAAAACATAAATACGTTGTTTCGGTGTATACGTCGCAGGGCATGTGAATTATGCAAAAAAAACGCGACTTGTAGGGCGAAAAATACGGTAAAAATGGTACAGTTTTAGTCCCTTAGTTTTAGTGATTGTTGTTTTCATACGTTTTTTCAGGCATAGTTGATCAAAAGTCCATCTGAAGAAAAGTTTAAATGAAATAAAAGGGTGGAAGATGTCGTCTAACTTTGCATTAAGAAAATAAGAGCGTTAAGAAAATAAGAGCGTCAGTCTGAAATTGCACCCGAAAGTATAGTGTAAAGTTATTTTACAGCGTTCAGATGATTTTCATCTTTGCTTGTGTAGAGTGTCGCTCTGTTTTATGTTTTGTTTGTTTATTTGTTTGTTTTTGTTCTGTGCAGTTTGTGGCGTGATCTGAACACAAACTGCTGCGACAAGGGGAGCTGTAACTTTTACAACTCCTCCTCTGAGACGTGCAGGACTTTGGTGCGTAAGTCGTTCAGACTTTCTGCTTCTGCTGAAACATTTGTCCAAATCAAAGTTTGTTTTTCTCCTTTCAGGTGAACGTGGCCTTCAGCATTGTGTATAAAAGTGGCCTTAACGAGTACTCGCTTTACATGGACTGTGAAGGGTGCCGAGCGTACCACAAAGGCTACGTGAGGACGATGAGCCATGTGTTCAGGAACTACAGGAAGAAGCTGTGCACCTACGAGGTGATCTGAGCACCTGCTGCTTGCTCGTTTCCTGCGCTGCAGATTCTTCTCGGCGTCACGTGGGTTGATGATGATCTGTTTTAAATGCAGCTGCCCGACGTCAGGGCGTCCTCCGTCTCTCTGAGTTCAGTTCCTCCCTGCATCGACAGCTCGGCCATGACGGAGTGGCTGAACCGAGGCGACGTGAGGAAAGCTTTACACATTCCGGACACGCTGCCGCCATGGGACATCTGCAGGTACTTCACTGCAAATCAGGAACCTGAGCAGATGTTCCTGATCATTAAATTACTCATCTGAAGGAAGATTCAGAGTCCAAATGAGTCGTTTCTTTGATCTAAATTACTTTCTCTTCATTTTCAGCATTAGTTTTAGTTTTTCCACATGAACGTGTACTTCACCCTCAGTGGAGGCCGGGGGTTCGAGCCCTGGTTGTGTCAACAAGACGCCCCGAGTAAAACGTGTGCATTTTGTGTTTTCAGGAGAGTAGATGTATGTTGTGAAGCTCTGTGACCGTCTGAATTTGGTTCACCGGGCCACAGAAAGCTTCACCTGGTGCGCACAGGGAAATTATTTTAAATGTTTTTTCGTCGTCGCCCACCGAGGGGCTCATGATTATCATGGTCATCGTTGTTGTTGTTGTTGTTGTTGTTTGTGGTGGTGGTGGTGGTGGTTTGTAGTAGTAGTAGATGTTGTAGTAGTAGTATTAGTTCTAGTAGTTGTTGTAGTA